TTTTCTCAGCAACAAAAACCAATAAAATTACTTTTATTTTGTCACCTTATATGTATGTTTCAGAAATAGAGTGTATATTTCCTTACCTAAAACAGTTTGTTGTGCATAAACTTGTTGGTTCGTAATATACCTGAATTTGGGGAAAAAAATACTGCAGGCTTCTGCACAGCAGCTAAGACTGTGCAGTTTCGAACTGGCCAGCCTGGGGTGGTTTTTGTCGTGCAGTCTAGACAGAACGGGACTTGGAATTCTGCCCACGTTTTTTCCTCCCCTAATGAGAATGAATAATTCCCCCTGCTTGTGTCTCCCAAGGCCACTTTTCTCTGTAGTGATGGTAAGAACGAAAGTGATGTGCAGACATTCTTTAAATGCTGTGAAATAAATGTGCAGAACATGCACGGGTAAATAAATAAAATCTATATTCCGATCAGAGACAGTAACAGTGACAGTACACTGCAGACCGAGCAAAAACCACTTGCCTTCTTCCTGGAAGCTTCCGTGCATTATCAGTAGGATCTAAGGATGAAATTTCCAAATAATAGGACAAATTGCTTATATAATATAATAATACATAATGCCGCAAATATGTATATAATATCATGGCTTCACAGTACTAGTAGTGTCTCAATGTCTGGGACTCCCCATGTGACATCCAAATGGCCACAGAAAGCAGTGCACAAATTGATAAGAATGCACATTCCTCCTCCTGAAGTATCGGATCCTCTGTAGTGCCTATAAATTGTCAGGCTACACTGATGTTTTTCAAAAAGTTCAAAGCTAAAAGCAGAATAGACAATAGAGTAGCAGAAGATTCACGGTAGCTGAGCCCTTGTTATAGTGTGCCAATAGGCTTTGTTTTGTACAAGTGATGTATAAGTGAGGAAACCTTGAGGTATGAGAGTAAGGTCACTCTCCAGCAGCCCTGCAGGAGTTAGGGTTAAGGGCCTTGCTGGAGGGCTTAGTGGTGGTAAGACTGCTCTGCCGGGCCACGCGATTCAAACCCACAACCTTCCAGACACTAGGACAGATCCCTAACCCTTCTCTAGGATTTAATCACTTTTCAGATCTGAATAGAATAGATGGAGTAAAGATATGACCCCTTGCTTTGAAATGTATAGACAAATCATATATACATAGCTGCATGTTAGCACAATTGGCTGCAGTAATGAAATGAAAGTTGACAGTGTGCGTGATGATTGGCAGCCTAGCCTTCTGTTCTGGCAGAATGGAACCAGCAAGACTTCTGTAGCTTCGCCAGGACCTGGTACATGTTACAGTGTTTTAGTGCTGCTGTGTTATGGTGGCACATGGTAACAGTGGAAAGGGGACAGGGTGTTCCTACTCGATCAAACAAAACAGCTTGCATGTCTATTTTGCTGTCAAAACTAAAACTGGCTATTCATTCCTCATAAGCCTTTCATTGCCAGTTTGTTTTGTTAAAGCACAATATCAGTCCTATTAGAGACTCTAGACAATTGGATAAAGATCTGCATGATGGGATTCATATAGACCCTGTAAACTGTCAAGCCAGAATAAATTTACACTTCAGTTTTCTTATAACAGTGAACATAGAAAACATTTTGTAAAAGAACATAACTGACAGTCTAAACATATTTACTGTCTATTGCACGGATAGAACATTTTATTCTGTTTTAATTTCAGTTAAGAACGTCTGCCTCATTAATCATTGAATAAACATTTGGCTTCTACAGCTTTTTGTAATAGAAAAGCAGTTTTTTCAAACAGTGAAATTTTACAACGGATTTTGACACTCCTGTGAACAAATTAACTAAACTGTCCATTTTGGGGAATAATGTTTTTTTTGTTTCACTTTAATACTGTATGTTTAAAATTGTTTTTTAACACTGGTTTGCTGTGCTTTTTCCTATCTGTCTAATAAGAAAAAACACAGGAAACGTGTACAGATGTATTCCTTGTGTCTTATACATGTATGCTCTATTGCATAAAAATCTTAAAAAAAAACAATTTTTAGCTCAATGCATACATTTTTTAATGGTTGAAACTGGTGTTTTTCTCCCTTCAGGTGTCAAAAATTAGTTGAAAGTCATGTTATTAATTGTAACAATATGCATATGAATTATGGGGGGTTCTGGTAAGGGAGACGTTCAGGTTCAGGGTTGAAGCTGCACGTACAGCGAATATTGTGCATTTCTCGCAGTGTGAGTATTTTGTGGGATTTCCTGTTTGCAGTGTTTTCCTGCTGCAAAACGCTGTTACCCCTTGATAGGATGAAAGATACAGGGAGAGTCCATAATTAGTTTGTATTTAGGAAATGGAGGGAACTGGGACAGCAATGGCAGTGATGAAAAGAGAGAGGAAAGAGAAATGAGGGGAGTAGCTTATGGTCACCTTGGCTTTGATGTAAAAAAGCAAAACTGTCTTCCTGACCCAAACAGTGTAACCAGGCAGCGGAAATTCTGAGTGGTGTTTCCCTCTGTGATTATGAAGAAGCCAATAAGAGAGCAGCACCAGGAGTTTACTGGGCTGTGGGACAGTGGGGGCCAGAATAAGGGGTTGGGGCATTGGACGGGGGCAGTCACAGGTTTTTTGGTAGCTTTTTGAAAGGAATAAAATTAATGTGACTAGAAATCTCAGAATATGTGGTCGCAGGGATCCGGGACTTTAAAATGCTGAGCTGAGACAAAGCTAAACGGCCTCACATTATCCGTCATTATTTCTTCTGCGAGTAATGGCACAATTACTCCTTGGACTAAAAATGCTAGCTCCATTCTTTTGCGTAATTTCACAGTTTCCATATTAAGAACCTAAAGCTCCTCACGGAGTCACAGAGGCTTTTGGAAATACCAGTGCTTAAAGTGCTGTTAAGGAGGTCTAAGCCTGTGCTTCCTTTCTTTCAGTTATAATTAGCTTGTTTTGTCTGCATTTCTGGAGTACACTGGAGCATGAGCTGGGAATACAGGAACCGAGGGAAGGCAGATGCTGGTGCTTACCCACCAGCGCGTTTCAATGTCCTCATGGAAGCCGGGTGCCTTTGCCGTCCAGCCTAAACCCCCCCCCC